AACAGAGCCTGAAGGCAAATGCTGGCAAGCTGTGCCCCTAAGCACTGCTGCCCTGCTGCACAGAGCATTTCCCAGGAAATTTCACCCCTGTGCTCCAGAGAGGGAATGTTCTGGAAAGGAAAAAAAGTTTTGAGTTTTTGCATCTTTCTCACACTCTTTTTAAGCCTTTGTTTTTATGGAGGGACTTAATCTAGTTATTTAATGATTGAAGTTTTTGCTCAGAGACCTTTAATCACAATAATTATTTTTTATCATGCTCATTCGTACATGCCTCCTGCCAACACGCCTGAGGTGCTACACAGACACTGAAAAACATAGCACAAATTAAACATAACAAAAGAAAATCCAATGAAATATTTAAAAAGACACATCTGATATTAACAAGAGAAAGGCTGTTTTCAAACATGAGGTATTTCAAGACAAAATTGCTGTGAATACAGAGGGATTCTGGTGAGGTTCTTGCCACCAACCCTATCAAATCCACTTAACTACAGCAGATGAAATGTTTGTTCATTTCCCTCTGGCTGGCATCTTCCAAGTACTTTTCTCATTTTATTTTAAAATATTTGAGATTGCTTCTGTCTTGTATGCAACCCAGAAAATCTTTTTCTGATACCTACAGTGCTGCTATAATATGGTCATTTATGGCCATCATCTTTAAAACAGCTAAACTGACAATGTGCCATATAAGAAAATATTATTACTCTGTTATAAAGAAAGAGAACCAAGACAGAGAGGAGGCTAAGCTTGCCAAGATCAAACAAAGCTTGTGGTAGAAAAGAATTTACACCTGAGTCTTCCAAGTAACGGCCTATCACCCCAACTGAGCTGCTCTAAATCTTCAGCTGTCACCAAAACACAAGAAATTGGGGGATTAAAATACAAATAAGGAAAACCAAAATCATGAAACAACAGTTGGGATCTCAAAGCAGATATATTAGGCATTTGTATGCAGTCCATGAACACATATAATACAGGCATCCATAGCATGTGCAAATGTTAAGGATCAATTTGATAAAATCTTAAATTTAAACTCTTTTGAATTTGCAAATAGAATACCTTTTTTATGTCCTATTTTTCTTGCATGATTCTCAGCCTCTTGTCAGACAAGCTCTCCTAAACCTGAGTCTCAGAATATCTGTGCAGCTATTGAACTGCATGTAGTCTGCTTGTTAACAAGAAATGAAGCTGGAATGTAAGTCAGTGCTAATTAAACTCATAATTACAAACGGAAGGTCAGACAGCAGATCAAGAGCTGTTTGAAAATGTAGTAAGACAAAAGAAAGAACAAACTCACATGTAATAATTCTGCCTTACTTAGCAGACTGACCCATTAGAAGACTCCTCAGCTGCACACAGTACTGCAGGCAAATATTAGAATAGTAAATTCAAATCACTTGGGTTTAAACAAGTCTGTTGAGGATTAGCACAGGCTCTAAACATTATCTAGATTTCTTATTAGAAAAAAAATATTGAGAATTGATCATTTACAAAGTTAGAACATGGATCACAGCTTCCTAACATGAGTTCCAAAGTAGTTTCCACCAGTAGTTGCCTTCCCTTCTGCAAACTGAACTGGATAATGTCTCTCTCCTCGGCCCATAAGGGGCCAGGAAATCTGCTTGATCTGTCACTGCCCTGCTTGTGGATCTCCACAAACACAGAAATCCCGAGATAATCACGATATTGCCTTTGTTCCCTGGTGGGGAGGTGGGGCACAGAGAAGAGGTGAAGTTCAGAAGGTGATCAGGACAAAGAGATTAAGAAGCAGCATTAAAAGATCAACAGGGAACAGAAGCACCAACCACTAGCAGCTGAAACAATGACAGCCAAGGAAGGTACACCATATTTCCTGTCATCTTTGAACTCCTGAAGGGATAGAGGTTTTCATGTGGGAATCAAACTCCACGTTTTGACCCATTCCACCACCATGTGACACCAGGGTGAATGATGGGCATGCAGGACACATGAGGAGCAAGGAAGCTCATGCTGTCATGCCAGACCAGAAAGCCAGTGCCTGTTCTTGTTAGCACACTTGAGATGAAGCCCTTGATGTTTCAGGAAAATTCAAGGAGAATAATTTTTCTTTCCAAGCTAAGAACATTTCTTACTTGGGATCTAGGCACCTGGACGAAAAATCCTGTTCAAGATTTACAAAGTATCTGCCAGGAAACAAATATAGGTGGCAGATCAAAGCTGCTTTCTGCCATCCCTCCTACTCTGGGTATTTCACCTTTCCGAGAGCCACAGGAAGCCTCTGAAACTCACAGCAGGGTGGAACAGCCTTGTGAGACTTGCCAATGCCAGATTTAAAAACCAAAAAAAAAGTATTCCCTTATCAGCAGGCTTTTATCTGACACGATTATTCTTAATATCTGCCTTCCAACAGTTCAACTTCGCTTCAGTGAATGTCTCACCAAGCCCCTTCTAATAAATATTGTTTATGATTTCTATGACACACTTGTTTTGCAGGGAAATTGTGGAGGCAGTGATCACTGGGATGATTGACACCTAGTTATTCAATCAAACATACTTCTATTTCACTAGTCACAGACCACACATGCCAAATTTGATACTGAAACAACTTATATTAAGCATTTTGGAGAGGGCTTGGGAAGAAAATCAGTCTTGTAATGAAAATCTTAACTATGCTGCAGCTACTGCAGCACCATTATACTTATTTCTCTCCTGCTGGCAATTTGGAGGCAGCAGCACTGAACACCAGAGGACTTCTCCATGGAGAGAGAGATAACAACAGATTTACTGAAAGGATGGGGGTTGTTTTCTCTTAACAATGGAAGTGTATACAGATGGATTTGGCAGTTCTCAGCTGGTGAGCAAATACTCAGCTCTAGCTCATTGTGGCTCTTTGGATGGGAAAAATGGATTTCACGTAAGTATTCCTTTCTGGGTTCATGAAACACAGAATGCAGGCAAGCTGAGTGGCAGTTAGGCAAAACCAGTCACTGCACATCATACGATGTGAAGCCAGTGAGAACGGGGAGCTGAGGCACGAGGCCACGATTAATTCCTGAAAGGCAGTAATTTACTTTCTCAGAAAAAAAAATACTAGTTCTAAATCTGACAAATCATTTTATAAGCTGTTTCGCCCAAAGAGTGGGGGCATGAAAATCATGGCTCAGAGATGGATGAAGGTTCAACAAGAGTTTATAGAGAAACTATTTCTTTACCCCATGTTCTCTCTCCAAGGCACCTCAGGAATGATTTGGGAGCAAAGCCACAGCATCACAGCATCCAGGACCACTTTTGACATTTCAGGCAATTTAAACAACCCACATTGTAGCTGACAACACCCACAAGAGATCCCTGCCCTTAAAGCCAAGTAGGTGGAACACAGACAGTGAAACTTCTTGCAATTTAAAACTTCTTTTGGCATTTACATTCTGGAACCTGAATTGATCAGATGATGTTTTCTTATTTCCACATCCTCATTTTGTATAAGGGGATGTGATAAAGGAACCTGGGAAGAGGCAGCTACCATTAGGTATAGAAAGGCATCTAATTACTATTCTCCAGTTGCCATCTCTAACAGTAGAAGTGTGCCTCAGTTCTATACTTGCAAAACAATCCTGAGAAGTTCCTTTACCCAAAAAACTTCTACCCTCCTCAGGATTCTTAGCAATGTCCTTTCATTTTAATAAGAAGGGGATTTAAAATCCCTTGTAAATGTTGTAACAGTTCAGACTCGAAGGCTTCTAAAAATCCACAGTTCTGCTCTTAAACCTCTTTCTTTGGAGATTCCTCACATAATTACACTCCAACTTTTGTCCTCCTCTGAACTTGGCTGGGTTTTGGAAAGTGCTGATTAGATCAAACAGAAAATTTCTTCAGCAGTGAAAGAAATAGAACCTTCAGAATTTTTTAAGAATATCATTAGTCAAGCTTTCTGGATAGCTATTTGTTTCTAGCTTTTCAAGAGCAATTTATTCACTGAGCTTAACCTTATTCCCAGTACATCCAGGCGGCACACAAAGATAGTTTTATTCTACATAGTTTCTCATGTTATTTCCTGATGTTGGAGTACTTATTTCTGTTACTGTGTAGACCCATTTACTATGGCCAGACTAACAGAAAGTGAATTTAAAACCAAAGCCTGTTATCATTCTGGCCTGGTTTGATGATGATGATGATGATGATGATGATGATGATGATGATGATGATGATGTTGATGATGATGATGATGATATATCCACATAAAGCATTACATTATCTGCAAGTACACATTGGCAAGCTAAAAAATGGAAATTCTGTTGAACTCATATTTAGAAGAAATAGACTTATATCCTTCTATGCAGAAACCACTGAGAAGGCAAAAGCAGATTTTTTATAAGTACCAGCCTCACCTCAGTGACAATTCTTCTGTTTCAGGAAGTGAACACAAACATTCAGTGCCAGTCTTCCCAGTGCAATCCCAAATGAGAGCAACAGCTTAACTGTGTCACTCTCTAACATCTGAAATCCTTAGCTCGGCACTTTCTAGAAGAGCCTGTGCTGCACTGCTACTGCTCCACTCCATCACTACCACATCAAACATGAGATACCAGTGTCTAACCTTGTCAGCACTGAGTGTGAAATTTCTATGGCCCTCCCTGTACTCCACACCAGTATGAAGGTGGAAATTTTGCCCACATTTTGTGAGAAAAAGAAAAAAAGTAAACCTTTAACCTTTAAATTTGCAGAAAAAAACCCCAAGTTATACACACACACACACAAATTGCAACCAAAAAACCAGCAGGACATGAAAGACATCTCTCCTGGAAAAATACAGAATTAAAGTGCCATTGTCCCCTCCATCAGAACTGCTTGAGGGCTGTTGGAGTGAAACTGAAGAGAGGGAGAGGAGAGAAAAACAGCCACTGCAAATAATCAGAGTATTTTATTAGAGAGTTATCTCCTTCTTGTAAGAATGAGTACTCAAATGGATAATACCTTCCTGTGAAATCCAGGTTTCCAGCTTCATGTTAAGAAGAGGCTCTTACCTTATGGGATTATCCATCCTTGATACTGTGAGAAATGCTGCTAAATTCGCTGTGTAGGAAGAACACACAATAAGGGTGAAGAGCCACCAGCTTCCCATTACAATGCGCATCGCCACAGAATTGACAGTGGACTCACCCCCTACAAATAAACAGAGAAATGGAAGGTCTCTCAGCAGCTTCCATTTACAATCATCCTCTGTGTGCCCTGGTATGTTAAATTCTGTTGGGAGTTCCTCTCTGCTTCCCCTCCAGTCTGCCCTTTCACTGTGGGAAAAGCACTGCTTCTGTTAAGGCTGATAATTCACAAGTATTTTCTCCAGCCAACCTCTTCACCTAGACAGTGTTCTAGAAAATCATCTTTCAAAATATTCCCTTGAGAATTATTGAGGATTAAATCTAAAGAACATGAAAAATGTTCTAAGTAAAGTTGAATGGTGAAGCACAACTAATATGCAGGAATTAAATCATTACAGTGTTCAGAATATAGCAATATTCTGTTTTCAATTGCCCTTTCAGAATTGGAAAAAAAAGCCCCACAGAACTGCCGAATGCTTTGTGTGCTATCCTTGCAGTATTTAAATTTGCAAAGACTGGAGCATTAGTGTCACTACTTGTTACCCTTTACAAGATTTCAAATCATGTGAAGATTTCTTTCCAGCAGTCTTCAAGCACAGTTATGCTTGAGCATCGTTGGAGGCTAACCCTTACCATAGAGCTGGTTCTACTTACTTCAGCATATGTTTGTGCAGACTATATTTTACTGCACTTAAACCCATCAAGGCTGCCACCTTAATGAGATGAGGGACCAAGTTTCATAGCAACAGGATGGATTTTCCAGCTGAAGCTTTAGAAGCTTGCAGTCACAATGAAAAAAAAATGTAGAAAAAAGTTAACATCTTTACCCATTCAATGGGTACAGCATTCAATTACAGCATTCAATAAAACTTGCCTTCCAAGAATACAACTAACATTATAGAAATGGCACAAAAACTGTGTGGGTAGATTTTGTAAACAAAAATAACTTTGTTAATGACAGCAGTCCTATTGAATTCAGTAGGATTAGTCCCATGCCTAGAGATTCCTGATTGTAAAGTTAGTTACATACTCAGTTCAAACAACCAAGAGATGAACTATCTCACCTGAGTTCAAAAACCTATAAATTTCTATTTCCAGTTATATATTAAACAATTAAAAAGGTGCAGTTTCAGAGCTGGAGAAGTGCTGCAATTCTGCACCAAGCAGCTCTGCAGTTTATTTCCAGTGTAACAATTTTCCCAAAGAGGAAAAGCCTGCTAGTGCTTTTTCTGGACTTACTGAGAGACAGAAAAGCCGTAAAAAGACATAAAGCCCCAAACTTGCCTACCTTTCCCACTTTTGCTCAGCTGAGCTAATAGAACACAATACTTCCCCATCCCGGCCTTCTGTCCCATCTTTAGGCCGCTCTGGGAAGGAGTGCCCTGTCCTGGCCGCTCCCGGCAGAGCTGTGGGGCGGTCAGCGGCGCTGAGCCGCTGTGCCAAGGGCCGGTACCTTGCTGGACGAAGGCCCCGTACACCAGCCATATGGCGCTGTGCAGGGTGGAGGACACGGACGGGCTGGGCTGCGCCGCGCTCTGCGCCCTCACGGCCTGGATCCGGTTCAGCACGAAGATCAGCACCCCGACGATCGGGATGGCTGCGGCGATGCACGCCCACACCGCGAAGTCGAAAGGAGCGAAGAGAGAGAAGATGTTGATTTTCTCCTCGGGCTTCTTGATTAAGATCCCCACAGAATAGTCCATGTAGCGCTTGCTGAAGTCCACCACGCTCTCCCGCTCGGGTGTTATAGTGATGGCTGAGATGGCCAGGTCTGCTCTCTGCAACACAAACACAGCACATCACATCGCTCCCTGCCACCAGCAGTTTGGCCAGCGTGAGCCTTAGGCAGAAGCTTTTTAAGAACCAAGTGACTCCGTGCCTTTCCTTCTATAACTTAAAGCATTTAGATGCATTTAAATAAAGTCTCTAAAAATAAAACCAGAATCATTTTCACCATTTGAACATTAGTTAATTGCACTGGTCTACAGAAGAGTAATGAAACATAACCTGTCAAGGTACTCTTGAGCAGAAAGCGTGACCCTGACTCCTCTCTGGAAGAAGGGTAGTTTACTTAATCTTTATCCCTCACTCGTTTTCCAAAGGTGGCCTAAAACTCCGAACCACATTAACCCAGTGCACTGTAAGCAATAAAGAAAGAAACACCATTTATTTAGCTTGTGTATTTGATAGCAGGGTGGGAAGAGCTAATGTTTATTTTCTCCCTGCAGAATTGCCAACTTTCCATATTCATGAAGACATTTCATGAAAAACTAGGGAGAAGATTTTGTTTGTTTTTTCAGATTAATAAAGTGATGGAAAAAGCTCATAACAGGAAGAATGCACAAAGGCAACTATGTTCCTGAAACTGTTTTTACTTCAATATTTAAAACAGGTAGCTTTTGAATGTAGATAATCCTTAAAGAGTATGCACACTTGATGAAGGGTAAGATAGGATTTAATAAATAAGATTTCCAAAGCTTTTGAAGAGCTTCAATTAGATTTTTAATATTTTAATATTTTCTGTCTCAATAAAAGAGTTCTCTTCAAAAAAAAAATAAACCAAAACCAGAATATACATTCAGTTTCCTGTCTCTAATTGTGTTGGGAACGTAAAGTAAATATTAGACAGGGGAGGTTTACTTTGAAACCTTTTTGAGTCTGTGGAACAAATGGCAGCAGAAATACCATTTAAAAAATACCATAATAAATATTTAATTCCTTCAAAGAAAGCAATTTCCAAAGAAATTTAACAGGAGTTCTTACCTTATTTTTAAATCAAACAAATGCAAACAGTTTATGTCAATGCAAAATAAGTTAAAAATTCTTTATGTTCCCTAGCACCAACCAAGAACATCCTATTATCCCACACATGTTTGCTATTGCCTTAATTGCTTGTATTTCTTCCTAAACATCTCCTTACAGATACTGAGCCACCTATTTAAAAGATAATGAGAAAGCTTTCACTTTCAGTAATAATCTCCACTGCAGAAGAGCAATCTTTTCTACAAAAAGCAGCAACATGGAATATTAATTCCTTTGATTCTTCTTCTTAATTAATGCTTGTCCCATGTCAGGTTGCAAGAACATGAACAAAATACACTCATTTCATTCTCTGGGAGATTCTAACCTACAAACTCTACCCATTACTTAAATGGAGTTCAATTAACTTACTCCTGGATTTGCAATACTATAATTAAGAAATTTTAGTTTTAAAATTCAGTTTTAAATGAATGAATAATCTTGAGACCAGTTTAAATTCTGATTTCCTATTACTGGGCTACTTTGCCTGTTTCAGAGTCAAAGTCAGTGTCATTACTCATTGGTCTTTATTAAACACATTGTCACAGAATGACAAATAAAGCCCCCTCTACAAACAACTTTCAAAGACAAAATAACAAAAAATAAATTACTAGTAGTTAATATTTTAAGGAGAATACCTTATTTTTTCTCTATTTTCTATAGTCATTCCCTCACACACACGAACATGACCTCTATTCTTATAGTAATGTAAACACATCGATTTACACCAATGTAATTTATGTTGAGAGCAGCTGGGAGCAAATAAAACAGGAGACTCTCTAGTTCCTATCCTGTATACAGAGTCTTAAATTTCAGTGTATAACACATTCAAATCACTCATAGCTCAGAAGCATTCTGCAATGGTGCCTTCATCCTAATTCACTCTCCTATAACTTTTTTAAACACAGCGTCTTCCCTGTGTACCTTGTTAATGAGTTCTCCAATCATGCCATTCCAGGAGCTGTTTTGGAGCTGGTGTCCATATTTGCCATCAGGAGCTTGATATATCTCATACTTGAAGCCCAGATTCTTGGCCAGTGCATCCAGGACATCAATGGAAAATCCTTTATATCGTTTTGGTTGCCCAAGGATGTTCTCTGCCACCATTACAAAAGGTTCTTCCTGAGAACAAAACAGTATCTTAACTCACACTTGAAACAAGATTTTTAGTTTGCTTCTCTGAGCAAAATGGTGCTTTCTGAGTTAATTCTGGACAACTTGGAACAGATTTTGAGGCACCTGTAAGCTTCTGAGGCAAAAATTGTAGGTCATATAGCATTCTGTGAAGCTCCCCAACCAGACACCACCGCCTCAACATTTGAGTCCTATCCATAGCCTTGGTATTTCTTGAGAATAAGCAGAGGCTCCAGAAGAAATTCAACCCCTGATTTAGAAAGGCATCTTTTAGATACACAAGGCCTCATCTTTTATCCAGGACACATACTAAAACAGGAGCTAAAACCACTGCAATTTCGTGAACATTTAAAATTTTGAAAATTCAAAGAATAACTTTCATGGGCACTAGTTTATGGAGTATTTTAATTTAAGAAGTCTATTTTGGGGCCAAGGAAATGTAGCATTTTGTGGTATGTTCTCTGCTCTCCTGCAGGGAAATCCCAGGGATGTTGGTGGCACTGGCACTGCAGTTGGCTGCCTTTGTAGCTTGGTACTTTCATAGAAGGGATCTGCTCACCTCTCACACCAGCTACAGCATAAATTGAGGAAAGAAAACTGGGGGCTGGAGGGAGTGCCTTCATGTACATATGTACTCTTAGGTACTGCCTATTTGTACCATGATTCAGAAATAGAAAATTGAAAACAAAAAAAGGACATAATATTCTGCAATCTGCAGACTACAATATCTTAGCCAGGAAGGCATGCAATCCCTAATTTGCCCCTAATGTAGCATTTGGCTGACAGGAGTTCTTTACCACTCCAGAGTTTAATAGACAGGCCCAAAAGCATAATGATTCTTTTGGAAAGATGACACCTTTCTAAAAGATATAGTTTATCTCAATGGGAATTTATGAGCTTGATGCAGGAAACACTTGATTAAATTTTACAGCCTGCAGTGTACAAGAGCCAAGATTAGATTATCATAATTGGCCCATCTGATCTTAAAATCCATGAAATGCTTAAAACTGCCTATCCAAGCTGGAGGATGGTATCTGGAATGCACCCCCGTGCACTCAGGCCCTGTGCTGGTTCTATGCCTGGTTGGAATTACAATGCAGAAAAACAGCATAAGCAAACAAACAAATGCTCTGTATCACTGACAGTGCACAGCTTCATATAAAATAATAAAGCACCATCATCTATATTTCTTGCTTATGTAACAGATCATCCAAAAATACAGAACTGAAAATGATAGAGGAAAACACTGCAGGAAGTGCCGAAAATATTCAGTCAGATCCTTTTTATTTTGAGCATTTTGTTTCCTGAACTCAGAAAGGATCATACCAAGACAGTCACCACTTTGAGTGTCACTCCTTGTAAGTCGTTGCCCAGACGTCGCTCTTGGAGGCTGCCATTCAGTCCTTTCTCAGAGTCCCATGTCGCCAACTGGAACGGAAAGTACAGAGTCTGAAGCACTGCCAGGCAGGAATCTTTCAGCATTTACAAAATGTTTAACAGCAGCTTCACTGAATCCAGAATTGATAGAGAGAGATTGACAGGTGTGTGGCTTTTTTAAAATGTAGAATCAGAATTAGCACCATTCAGAGGTCAGACATAAACAAGCACCTTGCCTGAATGTATGTTCATGGATGTGTGCAATAGAAATGCTCTATTATCTGTAGTATTTATCATATCATTTCACTTAGTTCACTCTGACATTACATTTCTCCTCGGTAAGTTTCTACTGCCTGAGAGTCCTCAGGATTACCTGTGGTCGCACTATCCCAGATTTCCCTCTCTGCTCAGATCTCTGTTTTCAAATACCCTATGTTTATTAAAGACCAACCTTTTTTTTACAGTGTTTAACTCACAGTCATAAATTTTTGACACAGGTTCTATGGTGTCAAACTGTCTCAACTTGCATTTTCTTCAGCTTCTATCTTAAGTCCCATTTTCTCTGCTCTTGCCCTACTTCTACATGATCTCTAAAACAATTAAAGCCTCTTGAGTTCCCAGGCTCCTGATAAACAAGTATCTCTTATCTGCCAGATGTACCACATGCATGTTTTCAGGGTATCTCTCCCTGGAACATTACATCTAAATATTTTATTTTTCAATTAAATGTATCATTTTAAAAATTAATTTTACTGAATTTTCTGAAGAGAAATACAGTGCAATTCAATAGAACAGGTTCAATAGAAAAGTCAAACTTAAGTAACCTTTGATTTATTCAAACTAAATATGCTCCTGAGCAGTGGCAGCAGCAGTCAGACACCCCTTTTGCCTTCAAACAGAATCCACAGTGTCATTTTGTTCAGAAGAGACATAAATAGTATCAAGTAGAAACTGTTTTCTTCTTTTTTTTTTCAGCTGTACTCTTAAACACCAATACTATGCTCACATATTTGGAAGCAGTGTTGTTAGCTGAAGGCATGCCCTGTAGAAATTAAACACAGTCCAAGATCTGTGAAATATGGATTCCTCCTGCCAGAAGCTAATTTTCATGTAACAAGTCAAAATCTTCTTGGAAAGAACTTATTACACTGAAAATGCCTATGGCTAGATGTCTTACATGATTTATTTCTATGACTTCAGTTTTATCCTAAAGCCTCACAAATCAAATCAACAAATAAAATGTGATGGAAGAGATCTGTATAGTTTTATTTCTGTTTTGTTGCATTAAACTGATAAACAGGGAACTAGAAAAGAACAAGACATTCTGTGAATATTCAGCAACTATCACAACTGATGCAAATTATCCCACAGTCACTAAATCTTGAAAGCTGAAATGCAGGAGAGGAAAGACTTAAGGTACACCTCCTTTTATCCAGATGACCTCGAGGATGGAGGAGGAAAATGTATGAATAATTTTCAGTTTTATAATGACACCCCTGAAAGCTAAAATATCTCAGATTGAACACTCTCCTCCTGTGATGGCAGTTTGGAGTGACAGAGGAGTGTCTGCAGCAACACAGGCAAATAAATACCTGTAGCCATGGTATTTTTTGAATTTGAATTTAGATGCTTGCTCTGAAATATTTCCAGATGTTCCTCAGCCCTTGCTACTGCCAAAACAAATGGACAGACCTTTCCTCAACATAAATCAACATGGTTGATTTCAACAGACTTCAAAGATCAGTGCAGGTGTGTATAGTATCTATTGTGTCTCAAATCTCTAAAGAAAGCTTACTCTTTAAACCTTTGCGGATGCTAACTCTGAAACAGAGTGACTGTAGAAATTGCAAGCCACACAGCTTTCTCAGTCTTGCCTGAGAAAGCGGCCTGAGAATTCATGGGGAGGATTTAAAACATTCCTCAGAGACAGAAAACAGCCTTGCAGGTGCTGTTTGTCTGTTCCTTGTTTTCTTTGCAGGAGAAGGTCGGGGGATGGTGTGCCCCACTGACCAATGATGGTAATGCAGTAGTTTACTAACCAACGAGAGTTTCTTTTCTGTACTTTCCATGTATTGGTCTATGAAAAAGAGCTGAAGCAATAAATTAAGAGAAATTCTCCTGATTGACTCCTAGAGAGTCTGTATCATTCTTCTCGCTGTTCCTAATAGAGCGACAAACCTTCTTTGCTTGTCCTAGGCATATGGCCAAGACTTTTGCCAAAACGGCTTACAAAATCTACAGGTGATGATGATAATGCATCTCACTGTCTTTTTTCAGGAAACAAATTGCTCTAGGTAAGGGTTTATAAGATCTTGTATGAAATAATGCTAAAATTCAGATAGAAGCATATTGTCCTCTTCATTTCAGCTACCTTTTAATTCTGTACTACTATTGAAAAAGCAGTCAAGCTTTTCTAGAACAACTTGATAATTTTTAAGTCTTACTGCCCCATGCTCATTTTCCTATGATTCTCTGGAGAAATTTAATTATCATCGATACAGCACCATAAATTTGCAAAAAAACATTTACAAATCTACAGATGAGATGCCAATGATAAGCTTGTAAAACAGTACTGCTGCACAAGTACCAGTGTGGACCTGGATGCCACATCTCATGGTATGGGCTAAACAGAGCATCCAGAACACAGCTGAGAAGAAGTACTGTCTTAACACTGTGGTTAGCATCTGTCTGAACAAGAGCTAGGCATGCTGGAAGAGTATCAAGGGAGAATAGGACAACTGCTGCTGTGATGGAGGATTCAGTTAATACAAAGGATGAAAGATGCAACTGTGAATATTTAAGATAATGATAACTAAGAAATGGGAAAATTAGAAAGAAAACTAGATATAAGGCAACAGAACTACTGCTGCAAACTTCTTGTAATCTACAGAGACCCTTTCACAGGAAATACAAATTGTTTCCTAGAAACATTTATTCATTCTCAGTGCACTGTTAAAGGAGAAATTGATAAAAGGGCAGGGATTTTTTAAGTATTTCTAAGCAAAACAATTTTTCACAGGAAAGGCTTGGCATATCCAGGATACCAGGAAGTACATAGATAAAGGAAATCAAAGAACTCTCTGGTGATTCTTGAATTCACCAGAGATACCAGATCCAAACAATTGTTTCACATAATGCTGGATCCCAGAGAAAGGCGATTAGGATGGTTTTGTCACACGTGGAACAATTTCATCAAAGTCATAGAGTGCAAGGTTTAACCTGGGATCCTCTCAGTTTGCCATTTCCCAGGTGAGTGGATTGATTGCCATCTTTCAGGCTGGTATAGGGGCATATTATCCACAAAGTTAAAAGGTACTGGCATAGTCTTTTCAAAGAATGCCATCATTCCAGAATACTTGAAAACCTCATCTCCAAAAGAAAAAAGCATTCCCTACTGCTGAAACAAAGCCATTCCTAGAACTCTGCCAGGGAGAAATTCAGTCAAAAGTGCACAGGAACAATTTGAGGTTCCAGCCTACAACTGTTAACTTCACAAGCCTACGTAACACCACTGAGTCCCGAGAGCCACACTTATATAAAGTTAATTGAGCATAGACCTATAATAGAAAATAGAGAAAGTTCAAGAACGCTGAAGGAGGGATTTGAGTAGGAAAGAGCAATTGACCTGAACTGACATATCTAAGGAAACAGATATACACCACTGCTCGCCTGAGCAGCCAGCGAGACAAATGGCAGATGTCTAGGACTGAGATGCCACATGAAGTCTGCCCTTGAAGCAGCACAATGCCCTTGAAAAATGTGAGGGAATGGGCTCACAATTAACAGAGAAAAGCAGCACTAACAGAGTCACCACCACACAGACAGTCCCGTGAAACTGATTTAGAATTTAAGAAAACGAAATCTCCAATTGTGCCAACCAAATGTACTTTGGCAAGAAGCTGCATAGTAACAAGAAAAGAATTTACACAAATTGGAATAAAAATTTCAAATTAATTCAAATAGCTCAAAACCAATGCAAAATGCCAAATATTCCATTGCAATGAAATAAACTATAAATTAGTATCAGAAATATATTTTTTGCCATGTAAGATTAATGACAGTTCTTAACTGCTATTATCTAGAGAGTAACTAGATAGGATATGGACATGGAATCTCTCTCTCCATGTCATATACAATAATTCCTACGCAATAAATAAGGAAAACCTACAGGGGAAAAACTACATTAGTTAACCCAAAACTGTGGGGATAGTTTAGGACAGAGGACTACAAGCGGAGGCTCTGGTAGAGGTATTTCAGCATTAATATTCTATTTCCCTAGAAGCCTGTGTATTTATTCAGGTCCTGCTATTCAAATTGTGCCATTCACTGCATCTAACAATTTCGACCCTACCCATCATAACTCATCAGTATCTTGCTCCACTATTTTTATGGTCCTTTATTGCAGAGAATATCAAATATTTTGATGCGAGACGAAATGTTTTCCCTTATGTTTTTCATTAGCCAAAGATCAATTCAATTAAATGTAATGACCATACCATTAAAAGCCAACTACTTTGAACATAAGAGAGCTCTATAACATAAATGAAGGTTAGACACATTATGCCTAATACTACTGATATTAAGGAAGCCAAGGTATTCTCATGTATTGCTTTCTACATAATCATGAGGAGGGAGTTTCATGCAGAATTGAAGCAATGGTTTTCTTTCTAACCCTGTAGGTTTTATTAACACAGTGCCAGACTTCTTATACCCCTTGGGAATAGATCGGCACCATATACTTTATTTTGCATATCCATCATGTTTAATATTGTGGTGCAGGGCATCAATTATGAGAATTATCTTTTTTGGTGAAGTAAGACACTGGTTCATTATGTGGCAGAATGAGACATTATTTTGCTAGCAGGTAATGAAGCAGCATTGATACCAATTCAGGGTTGTTCCTCTTTCCATATTGTGATAGCTGGTGAACATCTCTGACCTCTTACACAACACAGAAAAACACCTGTGTTCTACTGTGCTGAGCTTGGGAAACATTTGTCTGGGGCAGCAAATCCACACTTGGCAGAAAAAGGAGCTGAAAGGACATGACA